GCTTTTGCATGGCGCCAGGCTGCAAATCGGAGGTCAAATTGTGACAATGGACACATTCTACGTATTTCCTGGCGCTCTTCGAGTCACGGAGGGGCTCAATCTCACTCACTCCTTCCATGGGACCACCCCGACCTTTGCCGACACCGAAAAATAGAAAGCGAACCTATATTTTCCAACCCCCCCTGTTTATCACGTACATTGGAGAGCTTCCAGACCTGCCCATCCTTGCTGTTGAGCGGAAAAAAAGACGCGGCCTGCGAAACCACGGCCTTCGCATCGTGGCGCTTCGCTTCCCCGGAGAGCGTCGAAAGGAGGAGAAATTGAAAGGCGAAGAGCATGCCGGAGGAAAGCAAGGTTCGTGACTGCTTGGATAGGTGTGACGGGGACAGTTCTCGTCTTCTTCTCATGTCGCTACGCAGAATAGGAAAAGATCTTTTAGCGTGCCAACCACGGGGGTGACCGGAAAGTGCAATGCCTAGGGTATGGGCGCAGAAGGACATTGGGACATATTCAAGATACGCCTTTAAAACCATGGTAAAATTTGATAGCAATGCTAATCGTCATATTTGGGGCACTGATGAGTCTTGATTGCGGTCACATGACACATTTATGTGTGCCTCTCCGTACAAAATACTTGCGGACACGACATGGGCAGCATGAGAAAGCGAAGGCCATTTAAATTTGTACGTCATTCAGGGAACGCCGATCAACAGCATACTTAAAGAAAGAAATATGCCTTACGTCCGACTTGCTTTGAGTGCCCACGGGTAAAATTCACATGCCTGTCGTGCAACGCGCAAGGGAGCCAGTGGGTGCGTTGACACGACCTCCGGCCTCCTGGAGAGGGTCGTTGAAGAAAACTACCATCTACAGTATCAAAGCCCCGGACATCATCATGGAGCGTCACATTGTCTTCGCCCCCTTTCAAAAACAATAAAGGGAGGGTTTGGACCTCAAGGGACGTGCCCAATATGTTAAAAACGTGTGCTTTCGTGAAACCGCTTTCTGCCCTCCCAGGCCCAACCCCGCCCGTCGGGCTTGCGGGTTGAAGTAGGAAGGACAAAGACCGCGATGCAAAAAGCGGCAAGAATGGGGCATGGGATGCCATGTAGAGCGCCCAGGCCCCGCAATGAGGCCCTTGACATAAAAAGTTTACCGACGTCATGTGAGTGGAAGGATTGGGTGTCGTGAAAAGGAGGGAAGTGCTTTTGGGGGATTCGAAGCTGCGTGTGTGGCTGGCTGGTTGAAGCCCTACGGCCCATACAGAAACTAATCCGTTACGCTTCAAGAATAATAAGACAGGAAGGTGCCTCATCATTCATGGGTATAACATGTGTCCACGGCGTAAGATGCTGTCGAAAGGTTTCTGTTAAGTTGAAAGGATTGCCTGAATTGTCGATACTATCAGTCAGACAGGATGCACCTCTTTTGCCGTGTTCTATGAGGGAGGTTGAACAGACGGCGAATGGAAGAAGGGATGTTTCAAAGAAAGCCAAAGCTTTTACAATTTTTGGTCGCTACGCTACTTCATTTCGGTAGATTTCTCTAGTGCGTTTTGTCAGCATTAAGTCTCTCGTTTCATACTTCAGTAGGTATCGTCACCTCAGCGGAGCGACTCTAAGCTAGTCGTGCACCCATTACTTCCTCTAGACATTACATGCTTTCAAGAATCATTCACCTTCCACCTCCAGGGGTATAGTCAACGTGCTCCATACCAAAGTCTCGCTTTATAGCATCCATCCAGCTCAAAGTCCTGTGCAATAAGTAAGGAAGAGGAACCGAGATTTGGGATCGTCAAGCATGATATGTGGAAACAAGGACTCTCCAGAATGGTTGAAGGGTCGGCGTTTTCGTTTCTCCCGTGCAAAAGTAAAGAGAGCCCATATATTCCCCCGTTTCTTCTTTCCTTCTCTCCCCCTCATACCCTCCTTTCCCGCGCGTCAGGACTTACTTTATTTGCAACCTCCCACCCTCGCCTTGCGTGCGAACCAGGATGGATGCCTTCCGTCCGGTGTCCTCAGGTTTTTCGATATTGACCCGGGAAAAAGACTTGAGCGCTTGGTTTTGAGCGCCCTTCAGGTCGATCTTGCCGATTCCTACGCCGGCCTGCCCGCTATTCGTCTGCCCTCCCAGTTTTTGGCGCGAAGGCGTCGGAGGCTGGCCTGTGGTTGGAGAAAGGGGAAAAAAATACCCGGATTTTGTAGGCACCGGCGCCACCAACACAAGTGTAGACCTAAAGGAAAACGATGTTATTGCCCGGTCTGCTATCTTTCCGCCCTCCCTCCTTCCCTCCCTCCCCCCCTCCCTCCCTCTTGCCACACCCACCGGTCAATAATCCTTGCACATAGCCATCACCCTGTTCCAGAACATCCAACCCGACCACGCTCTCCTTCCTTTCCTCCCTCCCTTCCTC